TTTATTATTTGCCATATTATAAATAACTATAGAACAAGAAAATTTTAATGAATATATGACATTAACATAAATTAAAATTATGTTTGGTTCAGAGGATGCTCTGAACCTATTTTAGTTAATTTATGTTGCGTGAACAAATGAAACAACTGCCCGGAAAATGCATATTTTAAAAATTTATAATTAACTCATCGCTATGTGTTTATTTAAATTTTCTTGTTCAGACATTTTTATAAATTTATGAATAAAAATAAAAGAAAAATGATTATCAATAAAGTCATAAAAAAAATATTTAAATAAAAAAAATCATAAAAAAAAATCATTAAAAAAATGACTATTGATAAAATCATTATTAATCTGAAGAAATCCTGTCAAGGTTTTAAACATAATGTGGAGTTTTTTTCTATTTTGTCATTCAATTATTCTGATATATAGATTTTCATATGGTATCTTCCAAATATATATATATATATATATATATATATATATAAATTAACTGATTTAAAATATTTTTTTCGCTACACAGTAATAACTATGTTTCAAAAATGGAAGCTAAAAGCTTCAAATTTAATTTTGTAATTAAATTAAAAACATTAGTTCCATTTCATCCTCAAGCAAATTTTGTAAAAATAAAAATATCAATAAGAACACCAGATTATATATCTTACTGTTCTTTCTTTGTATTTATATATATATATATATATATATATATTTGAAGATATGATATATATATATATATATATATATATATATATTTGGAAGATATGATATATATATATATATATATATATATATATATATATATATATATATATATATAGACATGAGTTGCGTTTAAATTTAAATCTAATTTCCATAACATCTTACTTAACATAAATGATTTTTATTGGTTAAACCAATTCACAACATGTATGTTCTTGCCTTTCTTTATTTCTATATCATCCTCATCTTCATGCTTATCTTTATCGCTTATTTTTTTTTCAGAGAACAGATTATATCTTGGGTCTTTCTTCTCTTCTATCTCTTCTTATTTTTCTTTCTTTTTCTTTTTACTAACTATATCTTGTCTTCCTTTCAGCTATATCTTTTGTCCTTTTTTTCTTTTCCTTTTTTTCGGAGAAAAGATGTTTTATAAGTATGATTAAAAATTTTTATAACCATCATTTTACCACCACCTGATGAGATGTTATGTTACATCGAAACATTAATGCATTTTTGTAGCAGAAAATATGTATGTTCAAACCTATAACCTATAATAAAGATTATATATATATATATATATATATATATATATATATATATATATAAGATCAAAAATTACCAACAACAGCATATGTCTGAAAAACTGGAAGTCAAAATTTGAAAAAAAGAGAAAAAGAAAGAAAAGGTTAGGAGTAAGTGTAAAATGAAAAAAAAAAAAAAACAATGAAAAGGACAAATAATAACATTCTACATGTAGGGACACACATGCAATAAGAAAAAAAATCTTGCACCAATGAAAAGTACATATAAAAACAAAAATTGAGAAGTATAAGCAGTCAATGATGAGTTGACAGAGTAATTCTCAGAGGGTCTGTCTAGGAAACTCTGGAGTCAGGATGCTGAAAGTAACATCAACCAGCTAAGTGACAAACTGTTGTAACCTAGAAAAGGTTACCGAATGAGGAATAACTAAAACGGGGGTTGGAAATGAAATGGTAATCTTTATAATATCAAAAAAAAATACAATACTCACCAGCAGCGTAAAGTAGGTAAACCACTGCTAGTGGTGAATTACTTAGACAGCATATTACCCCCACTTACAACAGTGTCCAACATATTTATAAGGATTGGGACATACCCATTAGTGTTCATAGGTACGGTATATAGCAAAAAACTTTTACTTGTGTTATATATATATATATATATATATATATATATATATATATATAGCCTGTACAAGGCCCAAGAGCCACTCGAGGCAGAGTGTTACAAATTAAGAAGCAGAGTTTATGGGGATATGTAAGGAAGGTAATAGTTAACCTTAGACTTGAATAGATTAAGATTGTAGAAAGAAGAGAAGCTTCCTCTTGGGAGTTGATTCCACAATGCGATGGTTTGTGGGAAGAAGCAGCTCAAGAGGAACTTACATCTCACCAATGGAATACAAAGGGAAAGAGGGTGGTTCACTACAATGTACATGGGATGCTGGGTCTTAGCAATGAAGGTTAGAGTTGATGGAACTAAAGAATCTAATTCATCTGAACACTTTCCATAGAAAGAGCAATAGATTAGTGAGAGGCTTACAGCATTTCATCTGCGAGAAAGGGGTTTGTACAATAGAAAATAATTCATCATCCACAAGGACATGAAGATGTTTTGGGATTCTTTTGAAACTAGAAAGCGTAGTTTGGGCAGCTCCTGCCCATATATGGCACAGTACCCCATTTTCAGCCTGATCTGGCTCTTGTAACATTAAAGAAGGAGTCAGGTACTTACTGGAGTCTTATAGGGAACTGATCATTTTTCAAGTATCTTTAGTGATGATTTACAAATATTTAGTTTAGAGCTATGTTCATTGAATTCCCAACAAGAAACAAATTCATTATCAATGATTTGTAATCATTATATTCAAGATAATGCACTTAAACACTCACAAACTTTCTGAATTTTTAACTTTATGGCTGGGTCTCCCAATTTGTAGACTGTCAGTCTACATTGAATATTATGTTGCGGACAAAAAGTTTAAAAAAAGTATTCAATTTTAATTTTAAAAAAATAAAAAAAAAAGTTAAGGATGTTTGTCTGGAAAGAAAAAACTTTCAAACATTGCAATGATTTTTACTTGGTTGTTGAATACATCCATTGGAAAAAAGATGTGTTACCTGAAATTGGGAGTAAAACTATAGAAAACAACCCTCTCCTTGAATTCAATCCACAATGAAAATATTAAAAATGATATTATTAAAAGTTTCATTTACAAAAGACTTAAGTAAAATAAAATTTGTGGCTTAGCAGAAAAAATAATCAAAAAAATGACAAGAAAAAATTCACTGCTGGGAAAATGTACTCAACACGGTTGACTGTCAGAGGTCAATTACAAAATCTGACTTCAAACATCTACTTTATATTAGCCAACTCAGGCAATAAAAAAATTTTATGAGTTGATTTATAGCTTCAACTGAAGTCTTAACATTGTTTACACACTAAAAGTATCACTGAATGATTCATAGTCATCAGAATAAAAACCGCCAAACACGAGTCATCTCGTGGATAGCAGAAAATGTGTTAAAAAAAAAATTAATTTCAACATTAATATTAAACATTTTTCAGATTCAGGTGTCACTGAGAAGAAACAGATTTAAAAATTTAAATGAACTCAACCTGAAAACTCTCAAGGGTTATGAAAATTGAAAAATTAAGCTAAAATGTGTGGAAATAAGAATTTAGGCTCCTTAACACATCTGTCAGAAATCTGTTATTTTAAGCCTATTTATTTGAAGATATTTTGAAACGAACAAGAACATCCTTTTACTAAAATGCACTCAAGCAGCTGAGAAAAATGATTTACCATGTACATTAGCATACCAAATACCTCAACTTTGTATATAAACCTCCCCTATTTACATTTAATATTCCAGTATTATAGAATGAGGCTAGCTACAAGTACCGGTAGTCTATGGCATCTGGGTAAATATTAGCATACCAAATACCTCAACTTTGTATATAAACCTCCCCTATTTACATTTAATATTCCAGTATTATAGAATGAGGCTAGCTACAAGTACTGGTAGTCTATGACATCTGGCTAAACATTAGCCTACCAGATCCCTCAACTTTGCATCTAAACCTCCCCTATTTACATTTAATATTCCAGTATTATGGAATGAGGCTAGCTACAAGTACTGGTAGTCTATGGCATCTGGGTAAACATTAGCCTAGCAGATCCCTCAACTTTGCATATAAACCTCCCTTATTTACATTTAATATTCCAGTATTATAGAATGAGGCTAGCTACAAGTACTGGTAGTCTATGACATCTGGCTAAACATTAGCCTACCAGATCCCTCAACTTTGCATATAAACCTTCCTTATTTACATTTAATATTCCAGTATTATGGAATGAGGCTAGCTACAAGTACTGGTAGTCTATGGCATCTGGGTAAACATTAGCCTACCAGATCCCTCAACTTTGCATATAAACCTCCCCTAATTACATTTAATATTCCAGTATTATAGAATGAGGCTAGCTACAAGTACTGGTAGTCTATGGTATCTGGGTAAACATTAGCCTAGCAGATCCCTCAACTTTGCATATAAACCTCCCCTATTTACATTTAATATTCCAGTATTATGGAATGAGGCTAGCTACAAGTAGTGGTAGTCTATGGCATCTGGCTAAACATTAGCCTACCAGATCCCTCATGTTTGCATATAAACCTCCCCTATTTACATTTAATATTCCAGTATTATAGAATGAGGCTAGCTACAAGTACTGGTAGTCTATGGCATCTGGGTAAACATTAGCCTACCAGATCCCTCAACTTTGCATATAAACCTCCCCTATTTACATTTAATATTTCAGTATTATGGAATGAGGCTAGCTACAAGTACTGGTAGTCTATGGCATCTGGGTAAACATTAGCCTACCAAATCCTTCCACTTTGCATATAAACCTCCCCTCTTAAATTTAATATTACATTATTATGAAATGAGATAGTTCATGGCATTTGGCTAAACATTAGCCAACCAGATACTGAATATATACACAAACCACACCTGTTTACATTTAATATTACAGCATCATGGATTGATTGACTGATGTTTTTGGACAATTTATCAAGCTTTGCAGGTTATATAAAGCCAGAAAATATTTTTAAATTGTAAGAATTTTTTTTTTTAATAATGGTTTACGAAGATGTTTGAAGAATTTAACAGCAAAATCTGGTTTAATATCAATTTCAAACAAATCAATTAAACTTTTTAATTTTTTTTAATTTTTATTTTATTTTATTTTTAGTTACCTGCAGCTTCTAGAAGGGCCTCCAATCGAGCATGTGTCTCAGGATCAACTGTTTGCAGATTGGCCCCTTCAATGTTCTCAGCAGGCAGTAGAAATTTGGCTGCTTCCAACATGGGTTCTTCCTCTATTTCCTGATCTAGAAGGAAGGAGTCCACCTAGAATTCAAAAGAAAATATTGCAAAATTAGAACAAAACTTAATTATAAAAACACTAATCAGATAGTTGTTTTACTAATTTATTGCTGCATGTTGATACACACTAACAGAATAAAAATAATGAATGTTACAATGAATGAATCACAGTAACATTTTCTCAGGGCAACAGGGTTCCTTGGTAGTGTCCGTTGGGGTAACACATGAGGTCCTTCATAGCATTTAAAATACTGAGAAATAGGTATTAATGGTACAAGTACTAAGCAATAGGTACTAAGAATACAAGTACTAAACAATAGTTATTAAGGGTATAAGTACTAAGTAATGGGTACTAACGACACATGTACTAAGCAACAGATACAAATGACACATATACTAAGCAATAGATACTAATGACACATATACTAATACTAAGGATACAAGTACTAAGCAATAGTTACTAATGAAATAAGTACTAAACAATAGTTATTAAGGGTACAAGTACTAAGCAATGAGTACTGACACATGTACTAAGCAACAGATACTAATGACACATATACTAAGCAATAGATACTAATGACACATATACTAGTTTTTAGTCAACTGTTATGTGTCAATAAAAGTGATGGTGAAAATCAAGTCACTATTTAGTGAGACTTGCTTTGCTATCATCGGTGATTGTTGATATTTTTTGCGTAATCTAGAATTTTATCTATAAAATTAATTCTGTTATAGCCTGTTTGAAAGAATTCTGCTTTTTAAATCATTAAAATTAAAAAATATCGGAAAAAAGTTTAAGATGATCCATATCGTTGAAAATGAAACCTATATTTAAGTAAATTTGAAATTGCATGGTTTATATTTCCTGCATGTGTAATCTAGGACTTTTTATCTATAAAATTTTCCATTGTCACATGTAACTGCATTTTAAATCATTCAAAGAATGCAGACATGACTCTTCCTATTAAAAAAGGTGGAGGCCATATTTAAATCATTTTTCTCTTGCATTGTTAATATTTTCTGCATGTATAATTTTGGATTTTTATTTATACAATTAACTCTATTGTAACATGTCAGAAAGAATTCTGCTTTTTAAATTATCAAAATTGAAAATATCCAAAGAAAGCTAACATTTTCTTTTTAATAATTTCATCCCAAACAAGACAATAAAGCCGCTAAGACACAAGTTACTGAGTGTTAGAGAATATGAGGAAAAAAAAACTATTAAGGAGAGAGAACAATAAAAGAACAGGAATTAAGAAGACACAAGATAACTATTGACATTGCATTTAAACTTTTCAAGATCAAAGTTGAGTGAGAAGCAAGAAGACGGAAACATTATTAAGGAGAGAGAACAATAAAAGAACAAGAATTAAGAAGACAGAAGATAACAATTGACATTGCATTTAAACTTTTCAAGATCAAAGTTGAGTGGAAAGCAAGAAGCCAGAAACATTATTAAGGAGAGAGGACAATAAAAGAACAAGAATTAAGAAGACAGAAGATAACTATTGACATTGCATTTAAACTTTTCAAGATCAATGTTGAGTGAAAAGCAAGAAGCCGGAAACATTATTAAGGAGAGATAACAATAAAAGAACAAGAATTAAGAAGACAGAAGATAACTATTGACATTGCATTTAAACTTTTCAAGATCAAAGTTGAGTGGAAAGCAAGAAGTCAGAAACATTATTAAGGAGAGAGGACAATAAAAGAACAAGAATTAAGAAGACAGAAGATAACTATTGACATTGCATTTAAACTTTTCAAGATCAAAGTTGAGTGGAAAGCAAGAAGCCAGAAACATTATTAAGGAGAGAGAACAATAAAAGAACAAGAATTAAGAAGACAGAAGATAACTATTGACATTGCATTTAAACTTTTCAAGATCAAAGTTGAGTGGAAAGCAAGAAGTCAGAAACATTATTAAGGAGAGAGGACAATAAAAGAACACAAATTAAGAAGACAGAAGATAACTATTGACATTGCATTTAAACTTTTCAAGATCAAAGTTGAGTGGAAAGCAAGAAGACGGAAACATTATTAAGGAGAGAGGACAATAAAAGAACACAAATTAAGAAGACAGAAGATAACTATTGACATTGCATTTAAACTTTTCAAGATCAAAATTGAGTGGAAAGCAAGAAGACGGAAACATTATTAAGGAGAGAGGACAATAAAAGAACAAGAATTAAGAAGACAGAAGATAACAATTGACATTGCATTTAAACTTTTCAAGATCAATGTTGAGTGGAAAGCAAGAAGACGGAAACATTATTAAGGAGAGAGGACAATAAAAGAACACAAATTAAGAAGACAGAAGATAACTATTGACATTGCATTTAAACTTTTCAAGATCAAAGTTGAGTGGAAAGCAAGAAGACGGAAACATTATTAAGGAGAGAGGACAATAAAAGAACACAAATTAAGAAGACAGAAGATAACTATTGACATTGCATTTAAACTTTTCAAGATCAAAGTTGAGTGGAAAGCAAGAAGACGGAAACATTATTAAGGAGAGAGGACAATAAAAGAACAAGAATTAAGAAGACAGAAGATAACTATTGACATTGCATTTAAACTTTTCAAGATCAAAGTTGAGTGGAAAGCAAGAAGTCAGAAACATTATTAAGGAGAGAGGACAATAAAAGAACACAAATTAAGAAGACAGAAGATAACTATTGACATTGCATTTAAACTTTTCAAGATCAAAGTTGAGTGGAAAGCAAGAAGCCAGAAACATTATTAAGGAGAGAGAACAATAAAAGAACAAGAATTAAGAAGACAGAAGATAACTATTGACATTGCATTTAAACTTTTCAAGATCAAAGTTGAGTGGAAAGCAAGAAGACGGAAACATTATTAAGGAGAGAGACAATAAAAGAACACAAATTAAGAAGACAGAAGATAACTATTGACATTGCATTTAAACTTTTCAAGATCAAAGTTGAGTGGAAAGCAAGAAGAAAACATTATTAAGGAGAGAGAACAATAAAAGAACAAGAATTAAGAAGACAGAAGATAACTATTGACATTGCATTTAAACTTTTCAAGATCAAAGTTGAGTGGAAAGCAAGAAGTCAGAAACATTATTAAGGAGAGGGACAATAAAAGAACACAAATTAAGAAGACAGAAGATAACTATTGACATTGCATTTAAACTTTTCAAGATCAAAGTTGAGTGGAAAGCAAGAAGACGGAAACATTATTAAGGAGAGAGGACAATAAAAGAACACAAATTAAGAAGACAGAAGATAACTATTGACATTGCATTTAAACTTTTCAAGATCAAAATTGAGTGGAAAGCAAGAAGACGGAAACATTATTAAGGAGAGAGGACAATAAAAGAACAAGAATTAAGAAGACAGAAGATAACAATTGACATTGCATTTAAACTTTTCAAGATCAATGTTGAGTGAAAAGCAAGAAGACGGAAACATTATTAAGGAGAGATAACAATAAAAGAACAAGAATTAAGAAGACAGAAGATAACTATTGACATTGCATTTAAACTTTTCAAGATCAAAGTTGAGTGGAAAGCAAGAAGACGGAAACATAATTAAGGAGAGAGGACAATAAAAGAACAAGAATTAAGAAGACAGAAGATAACAATTGACATTGCATTTAAATATTTAAAATCAGCTGACACAAAAGTAAGAAGCCAGAAGAGAGTTCCACAAGTGAGAAGTATGAGAAAAGAAACTGTTAGCATAGAACTTACAGTTACATCTAGCCATTCCAACTGTAAATTGATGAAACCTTGCCACCAAGTCTATGTACTAAAATTTGTCATAACAATTACCATGAAAGTATTACTCTTATAATAAAAATGATAATATGCTATTTTAGTGGATACTCATATTTAGGTAGATGTTCTGTTTTTGTTTTGTTTTGTTTTTGTAAACAGTTTTAATTATTCCAACCAGCCTATGTATACAAGAGTCTTAACAAAGAAAATGTGCTCTCCAGAAGAGTTTAAACCTGCACCCTGCTCCATAAGGGAAACATGATATCCGCTAAAATAACATTTAGAGTAATAAGAAATAATGTTGAAATGAAAATAAAAATCCATTTATTACTTAAATTTTTTTTATTGATACAATTAACTCTATTATTGCAGAAAAGAAAGAATTACGCTTTTAAAATCAATAAAAGTGAAAATATCCAGATAAAAAGAATTAAAAGCCTTGTATTAGCAGCCTGGTTGATTGTTCGATTTTGTTTAGCGACATATCAACACCTCTATGGGTTATTTAATGCCAAAATCTAAATATTGTGAACACATTTTTATGGCTTTATGTAAATATATTTTGAATGCAATTGTATACTTTCAATTAAATATATTTTGAACACAATTGCATGCCTTCAACTACAGATAAAATGTATTGTTGGTCATTTTGTTATAAAATGTATTGTTGGTCATTTTGCTATAAAATTCTATTATTGGTCATTTTACTATATGTATTGTTGGTCATTTTTCTATATAAAAATGTGTTGCTGGTATTTTTACTCTAAAAATATATTTTTATACTTTCATAGTATTTTTTTTGTTGGGGAGAGGGGGATCACTATTTACCCATAGCTGGGACCCCAACAGGTGTTACCACCCTGGGTCAGGATGGACCTGGGAACAACAGCAATTAAGAGGTGGTTCCACGCTCCTCAAAATCTCAAATTTCTCAATCTGAGGCCTTGCGGCTGAATGCAGTTTATAGTCATACCTAGGACTATTAGCAGCCTGGTATCCTCTATTTACTAATGAGATATTCCATTATTAAGGTAATACTAATAATAACATTGGAATGTTTCCTTACTAAGAAGTGGAGATGAGGTTATATGACAAATAAATATATAAATTCACCTTGTATTATAGAACAGATTATTACAGGAACTTTGTTGACAATGAAAGATCTGGCATGATGCTGGAACCAAAGAACTGGAAAACAGATCATGTATATGGCCAGGGAAAAACTCTATAAGTA